GGTGGGTATTCAACTGCAATGAAAGTAAAAAAAAATTATATGAGAAAATGTCATATAAAAAACACCAATTAGTAAAACTTAGTTTATTAATTTTAAATGAAAGGTAAAGTATTTATACCTGCAACAATTATTCTAAATGCTCAAAAGAAAATGATCATGAAAATGTCATCTTTATTTGCTTGATCATTGGAATGACCTTTATCACCAGAAAAGTTGATTGTCAAAGCCAAGCCATCATTTGGAAGTCTACATTCCAAAAGCATATATCGTTTAAAACCAAAGATAAATTAATGGAATATATAAATGAAATATATTATTACATACATGCTCTTAAATGATTCCATCTCTTGTATTTGTGGATTGATCAACAGAATGGAAGATTCAAAAGCATTTTCAATGTATCGTGTGTCTGCAATAATATGATACATGAGAAGTTAAAACATATTACAGGAAATAAAGGTATTCAACAGATATGGTAATAAATTAAATGGATTCATGAAGCCTATTATTACCTTTGTAAAGATTTTGCTTGACAAATCTCAATAAACAGATGACCATGCCATCATTTGCCTCATGTATTGCCTTGTTAAGCAAGTCAGCATAATTTCCCCATAAAGTACATGAGAGACGAATGTCGCTGTAATAAGATTGTTTTGATTATGAATATTTGATCATATATATTAATGTTACTGATAACGGTTTGATTTTGGAAATATAAGTGATTACTCATTGTCTCTGAGCTGAAACACAATTTTCTTGGTTTCTTTGTTGTTACGATTAAGAATCACTTCAATTCCACCGGAGGAAACAACTTGACCAATAACATCTGTGAAAATATATAGGACAGATTAGTATAAAACATTTAAAATATAAAACAAACGATAAACAATTTAAAATAAATAATTTTAAAACTTACCAAATAAAATGTTTTTGTCAAGGGTTCCAGCAAGGATATCATCAAACTTGGCGAATGATAAATATTGATCATCAGAAGCCTTTTCAGACTGATTAATTGTAGTACCGTAACGTGTGGTAATCTTGTACTTCAAATGAGAAGGTCGGAACATCCCAGTGCAAGGATGCAAGCCAAAGCTGGTGATTATCTTCCAATCGCCCTCACGCAAACTGTTTGCAAACTTCTTCATATGATCCTTTCTAATAGAAGCTCCCATTTTGTCACCCTATACATTAAAAATAAACTATTATAAACTATATGAACGTTTTATAAATAAAATAAAAGGAAAATAAAAGACATACTTCTTCATCCGCAAGAATCAATTCTATTGATTCACCAGACTTAGCTGAAAACATTCTCCAACTATGAAGAATTTTGACTTCAATACGCCATGAGTTTTTGTAAGGTTTCAAATCTTTGAGTGGTGTGAATGAGAGGGGAAGAGCCATAGACATTTTTGCCGAGTAGGGTTTTTTAGGTTGGGAGAAGAATATGATTGAAAAGT